CGTTGATCTATACTAATATTATAGAGAGGTAATGTTTGTAAGTTTGTATGTAGCGGGTAATCTCCGAAACTACTCATCCGATTTCAAAATTCTTTCACCAATATTTAGAATGGAACTTCAGGGTGGACATAGGCTGTATATTATTACTGTATATATTATATTATTACATTAGGCTGTATATTATTCCGTTAAACATTCATATAAATTAAAAGATATAATCTAGGTTAAGGCTTTTATGTCCAACAGATGGCGCTACGAGTACGACGCCCTAAATTTGCTTTTCTGTGAGGCATTATGCTTTTCTGTGAGGCATTATGCTTTTCTGTGAAAATGAACTAAAGCAGATCATCTTCTATCTATCTATATAGATAAAAATGTAATGTTCGTTTGTTCATACCGATTCCTTTGAAATTTTGACACAACACTGCATTCGAATACGCACGTGTTTTTATATAATATACGTGTCGAAATTCCCCCCACTGCGGGAGATGGACAGGATTAAGGCTTACTGTGAAGAACTCTGCTTCTATTTATACTATTTTAGATGCGGTTTTTCCGTTTTTGATTGCGTTATAATAGGGTACGTCAAGAGAATGTACACTAAGAAGGGATTTTTCGAAAAATTCCCCCCACGGGGGAAGTGTTACACATTTATAATAGATACATTTTGAGCCACAACAACGCGTGGCGGGGTCTGCTGGTCTAATTATACGCCTGCTAAAAAGTTTCTACAAAGTAAGTATCATTGTGAACTTTTACATTACCTTATAGATGAAGATATTCGAAATAACTCTTAAGACTGTAATTGTTTAGTTTTGAAATGAAGTTTACCTGTGTTTGCGGTCAGTATGAAAAGTGTACGTGGGGGGCAAGATGTGGTACTCGTCTAGCCCCAGGTTGACCATGAATGTCCTATGAATTTAGAAGTATTTTCGGAGGCAGACTTTATTGCTGCAGAGACGACAAACAAGCCCCTTCAGCAAGGGTGGGCCTAACAACAAACAAAAGACAAATGACACAGAATGCCTCTATTGTGGAGGGTTATACGCTATCTACAGAGAGTTGGGCTAAATGTAGCTGTTGTGATAAATGGTCAAACTGTTCTTGTGCCAATATTGAAGAAAACGGCATTTTAACCACTTTAATTTGTCCTTCTTGTATATAAAAATTATTTCCCCATCTTACCCCATGGGTGGGGCAAGATGGTGCATTTACATGTAATTTTAAAATATTAAATTTTCTTGTTTTTAAAAACATTTTAAAAAATTAAATTTTGTATTATATATTGCCAAATGTTGTAGTTGCTGAGAATAAAGAAAAATTATTGTTTTCATTAAAGTGGTTGCCATCTTATGACTTTTCAAACCTTAACGTTCTCATCTTGTCCCACCTTCTCCTATATATAAAATCAAACCTAAATGTACTGTGTATATAACATTGCATTTTATAATTATTTTTTATTCCTCTTATTACTTATAGAAACATAAATTTATTGACGTAATCATTTAATATATTTTCATTTTATGTTTTGTCATATTTTTATTTTTAAATTATTTTTAAAACTAACCTACAGACGGCAGCTTTCTAGCACAACGACTCATGCAGAGAAGCTACCTTTCAGGCCCTGTAAAGTTTGCTATCCAGAGCAAAAAATGCCATTTAGGAACCAATTTTGGCAAATTGAAAAAAAAAATCGAATAAAACTTTTTTCAAATAAAATAGATNTTCATCCGATTTGCGCCCGCGCCACGAAAAAGGTTTGGAACCCCCACTGTATACCATTGTAAGCTAAAATATTTTAAGTTAGAATGGTATATAATTTTATAACGTATATTATTTCATTAGATGGCATGTTTATATTTTTAACAGTATACACTTGTACACACGTCTATCTATTGCTATATGAAATGGAAGAAAGCTTTTAAATGGTAGGGATAAGCGTTATAAAAAATTGTGAATGCTAATAACGAGTAACATCATTAAGGCTGAATCCTTTCCAGATATGACACGTGACACCCGTGCCTTCCTTCCATCTATGTACAGCCCTTATCAGCTCTGATTATAAACTGGTATGTAAAAATCCAAACAAAATGTGGGTCTACACACATTTTAAAAACTCGGAAAAAATTAATTTTTATTATAGACATAGAAAAAATATCAAACATATTTACTACTATAAACAGTCTTTAGTATAGTATTCCAGTAAATTGTTTATATTATAAATTTATTTTAAACTGTGATAACTTACATTTACAACTTTTGATTTACACTTTTATTACAAAATTTCCCGAATAAAAAAAAATTTAAATTTTCGCTGTCGGCCCTACGCTAGGAAGAGTGAAAGCATTGTTCTGTACATTTGCATATAAGATGCTTCCATACTCTTATTATTTGTCGAATTATAACACATTATACTAAACATTTCCATTGGCATCCAAATTTCTTTATCTTCTTTTCTGAGATCACGTCAAACATAAGTCAATGATGATCACTGTAGAATTATATTTGAAAATACACAAAAAATACAAATATCAAATTCTCGAAGGCCAAATCTGTACGAAAGAGAATATCGTTGTGTACGAGACAGTAATTCTCGTTGCTTAATGAATGAAAATCTATTAACAACTGTGTGGATCAGTTGTAACATTCTTGTAAGAACTCATAAATTAAAAATGAGGCAGGTGTGCATAATAATTAGGAAAATAATAAGAAAACTGTGACGTTTTTCCGGTGACAGACCCTCGCAGTAGTCCTCATCTTCTATTTCGTCATCACTGTCAGATTGTGCACTTGAGGAGAGACTTGACTCTGAGGATGATGCGGCTTCGTCATCTTCAAGACTATTTACATCGGAGTCATATTCAGAGACGTCCGATATCTGGTCTGAATACTCCGCTTCAGAGTCACTCATTTGGCTTTGTTCAGACATTTTGCAGAAAAATCCTAATTTAGAATTAATAAAAGTACAAGGTTACTATAAAAAATACGAATAGAAAAATGAAATACACTATAGTCTGTATAGTCACTTTCGATACTTCAGAGTGGCGCAAATCAAATTTTCGTGTTACCACTCGATGTATACGACACAGAAACGACGATGTACAGTACCTGTATACTCTCAGTCCCTACTTGTTCGTTACACGTGCGCCAGCCTAGTTTTTTTACTATACATTACAAACGTCGAATATCTAATAAACTGAATCTCGCCTATTCGATGTATGACGGATTACACTCTACTGTATCGCGAAAAATATACAGTAGATTCCCCTATAACACTTGATAATTCCGTGTTATAGGGGGTCTACTGTACTATATAAAGCTGAAAAAAAATGGGCATTGTCTGTCACGTTATGCCAAAAATGGCCACTAGGGACGCCCTAGCTATTATTTAAATTTAAATTAACAATATCAATTTTATACTTTTACAGTATAATACTCAGTATATTATTACAGTAGAACGTCGATTATCCGAAACGTCAGTTAACCGAAAGCTTTCCAGACGGACTGTGTCGTGCTGAATCGAACGTTTTTGATACTACCGGTAGATTAATGGTAAAAGTTTACTATCTGGGACTATCATGGCCACACTTTCGGTTGAGTGTACTCTCGTTCCCAACGACGTCCGTCGGAAGCGATGCGCGATCACGTGACTACCCTACCTAACGCGTTCACGTGATAAATTAACCTAACTTATTCTAATATACTATCGAGTGCAACTACAGATTTAAGACTACAAATAAAAATTTGCAATAATCGAAATAGGTTTATTTTTTTAACTGGAGTTCTAACCCGTAACTACCTATAAATAAAAATGAATCAATAAAACATTACTCACCATTAATATCCTTCATTCATCAACTTTAATCCGCTTTTTAGAACTACTTTCAGATTCTTTAATTTCTTCGATTTTTCTTCAGTGCAATTGCTTCAGTGCGATTTTTCTTCAGTGCACCTTTCTTCCTCTTACAAAATTTGTGTTTTATTTTTGCTTCTGAAGCAGCAGGAACAGTTGCAGGTTCCTTTCATATCGGCAAACGTCCTGCACCTGGATAGATTCTGCTTGTGTTGCGTAAATATTTCAAATCTTTCTCCTGGCCTCAGTTGTTCTCATTTCATTAACTTTTTATACATAAAAGCATATAAATAAAACTCGCACACTTGCTCTGTGTAATGAAGTGGCATGTTTTTTCTGTCTTTCAAACTACACCACAATCTTTCAATATTTTCCGTATGAACTTCAGTAACAGATTTACAAAATTTTCAGCATGTTTCACTGTTTCGTGTTGTATTTCAACTCCTTCCAAATCATCAATGTGATTATACCTTTTCCACTCGTCTGTATATATAATACTTCCTGAATGTACAAACTTACTCACAATCCAATTAAGGCTCTTCTCTGATCGATCATTAACGTAACACACGAAACATTTCTTCTCCTCCCTACAAATACCACCTACAACCCATTTCGTACCTTTCAATTGCCGACCTTTCTCATAATTCATTTTGCAAACCATGACATCATCTATCTCTACGGTCTTTCCCGGTCCTCAAATTTTCATATTACTTAAATTGCTCAACGAAACCATCATTACAAGTCTAATGTGATTTGCCCAATCAACGGCAGTCCTTTCACTTATACCTACGGTCAACAGAGCGGATTTCAACGAACAGTCAATACAGACTAAATGCCATATAAAGGAAAGAATAATTGACCAGGATTTTATTTAACAACTCACACACCTACTACTCGCACGAAACTAATTTGCATATGAACACACATTGTCACCGGCGCCGCCTACCGACCATTTCTAATCGCGTCTGTGCTCGATATTCCGGAAGGGCGGCCATGATGGTCCCAGATAGTAAACTTCTACCCCGAAATTGATTCGGATAATCGACGTTCTACTGTATTTTTATTTGTAATTTAGTATGCCTCGATACCTGCATCGAGCCTTTCGACTTGTACAAATATAAAGTTAAAATGTTTGAGAGTAACTTACCTTTATGAAGCAAATTTAACAAGAAAAATGCTGAGAACAAAGGCACAAAAGAAAGTCTTTGCTGCAGTGCAATGACAGAACCAACCAGTGCTTGAAGCAAAAGTGAGTTTGGAACAGCGTTGACAGATGTTTATAGCTTTTGTAGCCAAAAATTTTCTGAAAAGTAGCCCAAAAGTAGCCAACTCAAAATTTGTTTTTTAATAACCGAAATCTGACGATAAAATTAAAAAAACACACCATTCGTACTTTTCCAACAATAACTTTAATCACAGAAGAAATATTTTCAGCCAATTTATCTTATCATCCGAAAATAAGGATCATAAGCATAAACTGGAAATATAAGCATTAACTGTAATTTACTAATATGTCGAAAATACTCATTTTATATGCAAAATAGTGTGAATTATGCAATAAATGATTTCGCCAAGGAGGACTTTTTTTGCTTATTATTCCTCCCTGTGGACACTAATAGGGCCTCTTTTAGCAAGCTCATTATATGTTCCAACGAACCCAGTATGGGGGCGGCCGGGTAGTGAGAGACGAGAGTTGAGATATTCGATCGGATCATCCCCGAAAAATTCACGGGGATTTTTCTTTTTTGACTCGTCCGGATTTGATTTCGGGTCTCCCAGAAGCGGTAGGCTGCCACCTTGACCGCTCGGCCATCCGGCCGTCCTACCAACATGGACTATTAAAAATTAATTTTCCTATGTAATATTCTTAATAGTTATTAATTTGCTATTTCAAAAGGATTTATCAAACTACAATTATTTAATTTAAAAGTTGACTGATTTCTTTATTAATATTTCTTTATAATATGTGCATTTTGAGTTCATCAATACCCTTCATCAATTTGGTTTTTGTTTTTCTGTTTTAATAGAGGGGAGAGAGAAGTGATTTTAGCTTTTCCTTCTGATATTTTCCATGTTAAATTTAATATTTGTTTTTAATATTTTAATTTGTTTCTCTAGTCTACTTTCTGTACTGTGGGATGTAGGATTTTTTTTTATCTATTAATAATAATAATAATAATAATCTCTTTGTTTTCGCAAAATTATCAACGAGATCATGTGGCACGCCGACGAAATCCGAGGCAAATTTTTTGCAAAAAAGTCGACGAAAACCAAAGTCAACAAAAATCAAGGTATTACTGTATCGCCGCCTTCCTCCGCGACCCTTTCACTACTAAAAATCTGCATATTCGTATTAAACTACTATAAAATAGTACGACATTTAATAGTTATTAATCCTGATTAATACTTTTAGTAAGTACTACAGATTTAATATAGAGATTGCATGCTTTTAACATAATTATTAACTAAATGTTATTAATTCTTCTCCCATTTTCGAAAATTCCAGAATTTATTCTAAATGTAATAT